TATAAACTATGTTTTATTATATGTTTAAAAAAGTATAAATGATTACACGAAAGATATCTATTACTTCAAAGAAAAAAACATAAGTATCACCATAATAAATATATTAATTTATTTTATGTTAAGAAAATTAAACATACTTGATGTAATAGTCCAGGAACAAGGTAGAATGTTATTAAACAAAGTGAAAACAATGCATCATTTTGAGAATGATCAGGATGGATACACAATATTGATTGAACGAACTTATTTGAAGCGAAAAAATGTTCGTCGTATATTCTACTACCAGCAGCCATTATGAACTAACTTGCAAATTTCAAAACAAAATATTAAGTACGCATTTTATTTCCCCTACGATCTCATAGTAAATGCAAATTTCTTTCTATTAAAAATATAAGAATAAAATGGAAATGGAAATGAATGACAAGAAAATAACGAGAATAAAAAATTGCTGACCTTATCTACAAAATACAGGATAAGAATGTTTTAGCTCTTTATACGATTTAAATTATCCTATACATTTTGATACCATTACCCTATTATTATTTACTTATGACATGTAATTTTCTCCTCAATTACACGAGGGGTAGATTTTCCATCGAGTTTTTATATTTTCAGACATGCGCAATAGGTTCTATTGATTTCAACTTAGATCAGTTGGTTTCCGACAACGGTGCGGAACACTTGCTGATCTAGCAGCAAAATGAGATTGCTATAGTGATTAGAAAAAAGTATCTTCTATTTTGATCGACAATACAATCTGCTGAAGTTGCATAGTTATTGTCATAATTTATAGGTAAATAATTACAGAAAAATATTTCAATATCATAGAATATATTTRTCAAACCATAATTCATGATTACAATCCTATTTTCATGAATTATGAAATATTATTTGTATCATGCAGACTTATATATATCTTTACTAAGCACAGTATTGAAAATATCTTCACAATTGTTTAAATACAATTAAGAATTATAGTGTAGAGTARTAAACCATTGCAAAAGAGAACGCTTTCCTTATTAACTGAAAAGATATATTTAAACAATAAATCATAAAACAATCGCTAATTGAACTTACCGCTGCAAACGTTGCATGTGTTGACACAAACATACCACCAATCGAAATCGTGCTTGCTTTACAGCTCTTTGCAATTATGAATAATAGAAATTTTTGTGTTTTATTCGAAAGAGTATAAAATGGAACTTGACACCTTCAAACAGATCAGAAGGTTACATCTTAAATGAAATAATTTCTAACATGATAGTAAAACATCAGAAAATAATTCATATAGTTATATGAATTGAATTAATAACATTTGATAAGAATTTTGTTATATCTTACAATTCCTCGTAAACTAGATTGCTGTGATTCGTCAGTTCTTGACCAAGATAAAAATTGATATAAATTGTAAATAATGAGCCTGCAATGTAGAAACTGCACTCGACTATTTCGGTGGCATTGTTCAAGCTTATAGATAACTGAAATATCTAAAGGTGAACGATTAAATTTACTTAATTTTATATATTTTTATAAATTATTATATAATTTAATATAATATAATATATAATATATTAAATTGTAACATATTTAATATAAGATATAATACATATTTATTAATATTTATGTATTGTATTATATATTATATAATATATTAACATATAATATAAAAAAATTTATATGTATATTAATATTTTGTAATAAAAAGAATGAAGTTTCATAATTTGATTATTGTAAAATAATAGGAAGATAATACTTCAATATCTATTAATATTTATTTTTAATGTTTTGACATTCTTGTTACTTACATACAGAAAATCAAAAGCAATAACACTTAAAGCCAAAAATGTTGTAATTAAATAAGCCATCTTCGAAAAGTTGTTTAACAAATCCACATACCTCAAAAAAATTTTGATAAAAATAATTTGTCGTGATTAACGCTTTGTCTCTTATTATATCTGAACTTTTCAAACATATGCTAATAATTCTAGGTACTAAGACACACTTTACAGAATTAAAAGCAAAATTTTTTTAAAATCATCACAAAATACTTACTGCGTAAAATTTTTATATATATTTATAATCTCGATTATCCAATCCAATTCTTCCTGCGATGTTATAAAATAGCTATCCTTTTGAAAATATTTTAGATTTTTTTTGAATGGAAGTTGTATTTTAAGTCTTTAAATGAAAAATATATATAAAAAATTAAAATATTTTACTGTAAAAAAAAAAAAATAATACATTATGGCAAATACAATCATAGATTTGATTATAATTAACACGCACATTAAAACACGAAATTGAAAGCACGCAAAAAGAACAAATATCAGATATCCTGAAAAACTCACAGCACCTACTGTCAATATAGCAATAAATGCAATTATTTGATAAATAAGCAAACAAAAATATTTCACTTCTGCCTTGGTGACATTATCAACGGGTAATATTAGTGGTAAGTTATTTTCATCCAATGTTCCTAAAAAATAAAGACATAATTTTACAATGCACGGTGTTACTACTGAAAAACCATATCCATTAAAAAGACCTGAAACAAAGTAAAAGCCAGTATAAAAAATTTGAAAAATATCTTTTGATATAATTATAATACCATTATAATATTCACCAATTACAACGTATACATATGATTTACTTTGTTTTTYACTTTCTTCAAACAAATGTAATTCCTCATTATTTAGCAACTCTTCGTAAGTCATATTAATTCTGTTTAATATTAACTTCATCTAAAAATAATAGTTTTATCTTTTAGCGATAAAAATGTCAAGTTTTCTTTTTTATTTACTTACATCAAAAGAATGAAAAAATATTTCTACAAACTGTTACAAAACCAAAGTAAATTGTGCTGTAAGCAGTAAGTAACATAATACTTCCTATCGTTTTCTGTAGCACTTCGACTGCTGATTGCAATGTTACTTCCGATGTAAAAAGTTGATAAAACTAATGATTAMAAAAATAATTTCAAATTAAATGATACAAATGATTTATAAACTATGTTTTATTATATGTTTAAAAAAGTATAAATGATTACACGAAAGATATCTATTACTTCAAAGAAAAAAACATAAGTATCACCATAAGAAATATAATAATGTATTTTACGTTAAAAAAACTAAACATACTTGATGTAATAGTATTGGAGAAAGGAGGAATGTTATTAAACAAAGTGAAAACAATGCATCATACTGAGAATGATCAGGATGGAAACTCAATATTGATTGAACGAACTTATTTGTAAAGAAAAAATGTTCGTTGTACATTCTACCACCAGCAGCCATTATGAACTAACTAGCAAATTTCAAAACAAAATATTAAATGCGCATTTTATTTCCCCTACGATCTAATAGTAAATGCAAATTTCACTCGATTAAAAATATAAGAATAAAATGGAAATGAATGACAAGAAAATAAGGAGAATCAAAAATTGATGACATCATCTACATAATATAGGATAAGAATGTTTCATCCTTTTATATGTTTTAAAATACCCTATAATTTTCGATACCATTACTCTATTATTATTTACTTATGACAGATGTTTTTTCTCAGCAATTATACAAGGGGAGATTTGTTTCTTTTTATTTTATTTTATACATAGAGACATGCGCAAAGGGTTCTTCTATTGATTACAATGTAAGTCAGTTGCTTTTTGACCAAAGTAAGTTTTACAACAACTTCAGAAATAGTCAGTCAACCAATTCGTTAGTTTCAGTTTATTCGTGAGTTTTGATTTGTCTAATGTTGAATTACAATTGAAATAGAAATAGAAATCGTGTTGGTATATATAATAATATTTAAACATTTCTTCTTCTTCTTCTTCTTGAAAAAAAAATATAATAAACCATATATGGTTATATTGTGTCTCTCTGATTGTATTTTTTCTCACAATATATTTATTAATTATAACTGACTAATTGAAATGAAAATAATATTGTTTCTTTGCTAATAAATTTTTGTTATATTCTTTAATATAATATATTTAATATAATTTTGTATTTTATTTTCAACAAAATTCATAATATTTTGTCACAATCAATTATTTATATCATAATATTATATTAAAACTCTTAACACTTAACTAATTATATTAATATGTCATTTAAAAAAATAACTTTTGTTTTTATCTTGCTTTCTCTCTCTCTCTCTCTCAATCTTTTCTCTTATTAAATTACAATTATTTTTTAACAACAACAACAACAACAAAAATGTCATCTTAACAATATTTGATCTATTAATCATGATAGAAATAATTTAAAAACTAAAACAACAACAAGAAAAAAGGAAAAATCTTTGATGAACAATTGTTCTTCTCTTTTCATAATGAACTCTTATGTCTAAGTTAATAAAAAAAAAATAAAATCAACTAATGTGTTTCACTATAAACCATAATTACAATTCACCAGTTAAGTTTTGGTTCATTAAAAAAAAATTCCAATACAATTGAAACGATTCAATGATGGACGGGGTTCTCGTTTTCACGAATTCTCTTTTAAAACAAAAAAAATAAAATAAAAAAAAAAACAAACAAACAAACAATGCAACAAAAAAAAACAATTAATTCAAACAATTCCAACGATTAATTATAATTTATATAATTTTTAATAGAAGATATGATATATCGATGTATGAAATATAAATATCGGAGAGATAAATATTTTCAATTCTTTTTTTTTAAACGATTATTTGAATTTTTTGTTAAAACAAATATCATTGAATTAAAATCGACGATAAGAAGAATATCTGTTATAAATTATGTGCCCTTGAGACGTAAAATAAACCTCGAAAGGAAATCATGAATTAATGGTTGCCTAGTGTTACCAAGATCGATCACTTTTTCGTGATCAGTTTCAAAATGATCCTCGTAATTTGTTGCGCATAAATTTGTGATTAAGCTAAATGCAAAAACTGTCAAGTCACAATGTCTCGCTGTTATCACCTCGTGCACTGTTGACATACCTAAATGAAAAAAAAACAAACAAAAATTAACTCAAATTATTTCAATGATTTTTTAACATTAATATTATCTAATTTCACAAATTAAACAATACTACAATTGTATTTGTTTCTTAAACGAAACAACCCTACGAATTTAATTAAATTCATTGATTCTATTTTGACCAATTGACATGAGTAATAAAAGAAAAACAAATTGAAAATACAAATATTTTTCATTATACAAAAATGTTTCATTATAAATTTTATAATATTTCTGAAATATAAATTCAATACTCATTTTAATTTCGATTAAAAATATAAAATGATAAATAATTGAACTAACCAACGGCATCGATTCCAACCCTTTTAAGCATATTAATTTCAGCAACCGTTTCAAAATTAGGTCCACCTAAACAAGTATATACACCTTTATGTACTAAATAACTAATATCCATTTCTGATGCTACTTCTTCTGCTATTTTAATTAATTCAGCATTGTAAGCTTTGCTCATTGGTAAAAACCTTGGTCCAAATCTGTAATCAATTAAATTAAATATTTGTTTAATATATGTTTCTTTTGTAAATAACATTTCTTCAAACTATATAACTAATGTAATATCTCAAGTATAAAGAAATACAATATATTTTTAAAAAAAATAATAAAACATCGTCAGTTTTTAGTTTTCAGTTTTTGTTTCATTAAAACATTCTTTGTTTCTTTTGTTAAAAGAAAAAAAAAATAAATAAATATACCTATCTTCGTTGGGTCCTTGAAGAGGATTATTACCAGCAAAACCCATCAAATTCACATGATCCTTCATTATCATAATGTCACCGACTTTGTAATCAGGATTAATACCTCCTGCAGCGTTTGTTATAATCAGGTGAGTTACTCCAACAAGCTTCATCACTCTGATAGGCATTGAACACTAATAAATAAACAAGAAAATATATATATATATAATATTAAAAATAATTAAGAGAAAAATTAATAACATATTGTATAATTAAACACATTTAAAATATGTTTAATATAATTATTAAATAATTATTATAACAAAATAATTTATTAGTAAATATATATATTATTTGAATGATAATTAAAATATAATAAATGAAATAAATTAATATATTAAAATAAATGAAATAAAAATGATAATATTGTTAGAATAATATATAATAAATATATTTACCTTCCAAAGTGGATAACCTTCGTAATAATGAAATCTTCCTTGCATGCACATAATCGGAACACCTTCGAGATAACCGAAGACCATTTGTCCATGGTGTCCTGGTACTGTCGATACAGGAAAATGTGGAATTTCTTCGTACGGGAAACAATACTTGTCGACGAATGAATCAGCGATTGTACCTGGACACAACTCGTTTCGCTCAATTATCCCTGTACGGAAATAAGCAAAAGCTCTTAGGAGGAAAAAAAAAAAAAAAAAAAAAAAGAAAAAATATCCCCAATGAAGAAAAAAAGGTCGGGGACAAATTTGCATTACGACACGTGCAAATGTGTCTCTTTTTTTTTTTTTTTTTTTTTTTTTTTTAATAATGTACAATAAAAATAACATTGAAATGATTCAAATTACTAGTAAAATAAATGTGAATACTTACCCATACCAGAACCACATATTACTCCTATTTTTGGTCGCATTTTAATACGATCGAGTAAAAATTGTGCAGATTCCTGCAACATTTCGAACGAATACCTACAAATCAATAAGAAAAATAATATTAATATACAACAATTTTGACTATAATTTGTTTTAACATTTATAATGGCTTGTAATGCAATAAATGTTAATACATAAATAATAAACAATATTGATTAAACAATCGAAACTTAATTAAATCATACAATGTGCATTGTATTTGATTGTTTCTGTAGACTACTTGTGATCCGAGAGTGTCAAGAACGTAGTTAAATTGAAATCAACGAGAATTTATACTACTACAAGAGTGTTCGATGAAATTGAAACGGCCTTGCTCTTTAATCTATTATATTTGTGCACAAATGATATATAAAACAGTTATTATTTTATTTGTTTTTAAGTATCATTAATGATTCTTAAAAAGAAACAAAACCGTCTCTTGATTATCATATGAAACATTAATCGAGATCAACGTTCTCTCAATTATAAAATTATACTAAGTAAAAAGAAAAAAAAAGAAAAGAGACAAACGTATAAATCTATAAGATTTATCTATCTATAGTCCTTAATCTTATAGATTATTTATCTATAATCTATAAGATTTAGCCTAAAAGAGAATGAGATAGAAGATAGTATGCATTTGTTTTTCTTATTTCACTTTACGACGAGTCTACGAAAAGTTCAGTCAATGCACGAATGTAGGAAGAAAATTTTTTTT